TGTTCACATTCTTCTTTCCTTGTCTCCTTAGTCCTGGGTATGATGATAAACTATATCTGGCAGCAAGGCCGCTGATTAGGAGATAGGATCATTTGAAGAGCATGGAACCACTCCTAAATGCTGCTGTTCCCAGGTTCAGGGTGGTAGCACTTGTAAGGGTTCCAGCTATTAGCAAATAAGAAAACTCCAAACATAACACTATGAATGTATAAAAATATATTTTTATAATAAAAATGCCAGCAATAAATTTTATATTTATGCCAACAATACATTTTATAGCAAAATGACCAACAATACATCTATCATTGAAACCATAAAATTAATATGCCACTAAACAAGCAACATGAAAAAACTATTTCATGTCATTAATCCATATAATATCTTACAAATTCACAATGAAATCAAACTGTATTCCAAAATATAACTTTAACAAACTACAATATAAAACACAAATCATCGTCTCTCAACATTATGTCCACACAAACATGTATATACAAAAAAAGCTGAGTATTATTGGCCATGTATTCAATTTTGAAAGCAGAATAACATATTTTTTATACCTTCAGTATCTCTTCAGTATGCAGGTGATCATGGTTCACCACAGCTTCCTTTTCTTTATTAGCTATGAATTCTTATAACTTCTTTGAAAAGAAAAAAAAATTCCAAAAACACATACTAACCAGAATAGTCATACTCATGGAAATTTTTCAGCTGACAAAATAAGTGGGACATTTTTTTTTATTCTTGGAATAAAATAATCAGCCCATAGAGAAAATTATTTAAAAATAATTATGTTATAAAATTATTTAAAAGTGCCATATTAAAAAAAAGCCTCATGCCAAAGTTGGAAATACTACCAGCTTCTTCTCCCTTATGGAATTCTCTTCATGCCGTTTGCTTTCAATTCATCTTTGCATTTAAATTTTTAAAGATCAATGCCAATCGTTACCTTCTGTCTTAATTCCTCTTCTTTTATTGTTCTCTTACCTTAATAATGTTTTCTTTTTCTGATTATTTCAAACACAATAAGCCTTTGTGTCTCAGTTGCTTGGGGGTGAAAGAATAAATAAACAAAATGAAAGAAAATAAAAGTTCTGTGAAGAACGAAACACACAGGCATGAAATATTTTTCTCTTGTTTTTTTCTGACATATATACCAAGTGTAACAGCAAAATTGTCCAAATTTTGTAACGGCAAAATTGTCCAATTGTTAAATTAAGCTTTGAACCGTTGTATCTTAGAAATGATTAAAGATATCTTACTGGAATTCTCTGAGGTTTTTATAACACTAGTAGACTCTACTTTGAGCAATAAGAATGTATAATCACTCTTTAAGCTTAACAGAAGAATCGTGATGAAATCGATCATAAATGAAAATGACATGTTCATCATTAATTAGTCATAGCTAAGGATCGAAAGCAAGTTCAAATATATATATATATATATATATATATATATATATATATTATTCCAGGATCATTTTTCAACTTATTCAAGATAATCTTCACCCATTCTAACCTTCTAACTTTGTCCTGGAGTAACAAGGTGCCTCACACTTTTTACATACGATTTCATTTTCAAGTCTCTTTTTTTCAGTGCTCTTTGTATGGTCACAGCTGAAACTGCTTTCTCATGTGCCAAACATCTTAAGGATTGAGTTGGATCTTTTCTAATTGATCTCTTTAGTCCATAGCTGAAATGATGATCCCTCTTTCCATTGCGATCTCCTGATAAAGTTTTCCTCTCTACTTTTCCCTCTTTTTTTAAACTTATTCACTGTTCTCTTGATGGTTCTTGAATGGACTTTGAAAATGGAAGCCACAGTATGAATGTTGATACCATTACTGAAGTCCTGAATCATCTTTTTCCTCTCATCATTGCTCTGTTGGGAAGACAATGGGTCTGACACAAAATGATTTTAACCTTTTCTCTTTCTAGCTGAATACTTCAAAGGGATTTTCAGTGGTTCTTACAACAAATAGTGTCAAGATGGCAAAGTGTCTTATCTGAAAACCTGGAAAAAACTCAGTTAGTTTAGTGGTTTTTTAAAGATTAAACATTTTGTGGAATGGACAATTATGCTGTAACATGATTTGGACAATTTTGCTATTAAACTTGGTGTATATATATATATTAGCAAGCACTTGTGCATACATACATATAAATTATATAATTTATGTATAATTACCTGAGGTAAAGTATAGAATGTTTCATTTTGTGTAAATAATGCCCATATATCTGCCAAAATGTTGACGTGGATTTAATTTATATATTTTTGTTCAGGTATCTCTAAATTGCTAATTTCATAACAAGCCCGTTTTCTCAACATGGCGGGAATGTCATTGTGAATTTAAAGACAATATATTAAAATTTGAAAAATAAAAATCTTAAAGAACAATGTCCTAAGACAGAATTATATCTGCCTTGATTTTTCCATTTGAGATCATCAGATGTAAAAGTTTGAACTGACAACATGCTTTAACAAAACGCCAGTATGACGTCAGGTCGAGTTTATCATCTTATCATTTGATAAATAACATCTTAAAGAGGAACAGAAAATGATCATATGCTAAGTCCGATGATAAAAAAAGAATCTATGGGTAAAACATAAATAGTCTTGAATCAACCATTCATTTTTTCTTGTGTAAAAAGCAGAGAATTTATTTAAAATTAGCTGTTGTTTGTTGTATTCAGTAACATCTCTCTCAATGTCAATATATATATATATATATATATATATATATATATATATATATATATATATACAATTATGCTGTAACATGATTTGGACAATTTTAACTGTAAACATGGTATATATATACATATATATATATATATATATATAATATAATATATATATATATATATATATATATATATATATATATATATATATATATATATATATATATATATATATATAATATATATATATATATATATATATATATATATATATATATATATATATATATATATATATAATATATATATATATATATATATATATATATATATATATATATATATATATATATATATATATATATATATATATATATATATATATATATATAATATAATATATATATATATATATATATACACCATAATCATTTTCATCATAAGTTATCCAGCATTGCCCGATGAGGAACAATTTTTTAAGTTCAGGAATATAAAATTTTTGTGTAGTGATGTAAAATATTTTATAATAAAAATATTATTATAATATATGTATGTATGTATGTGCGTGTGTGTGTCAGCTTCAGACACTTTTCATCCGCTGTAGCTGTACTATTTCTATAAATACCTTCATGGTAATTGTTCTTATGAAATTTCTTTTATGGTACATAGGCTTTATGAATTTCATTGCAGTACTACATTGGCAGCAAGGTCTCCTCATTTTAAATTTGAAATGTCTAGATGTAACCATCCCTTGCTCTTCTCACTTGTG